GAATCTGGGATAGCTATCTTGCTCGTAGATGAACCGTGATTTCTATGATTGTGCACCAAAGTTGGGCAGATCGAATGTCATTATTGTCTCCCTGAGATATTAGGAGATAATTTTATCCCTTGACTTGTCAAACAACTATTAAGTAGGTCGCAACGAGCTTCATGCACTTTCGAGCTTCATGCCCTTATGAGTTTCAGAATGTACGACTTTGATCACTGCGAGCTCTATATTGTACAGGCGGCTTAACGTTGGTTGAGCTACCAAAACTTCCGAACTTTACAGCAAACTCACGCACAACATACTTTTTATTCACATAATTTTGATTCATATATTGATAGACCTTAACAAAGATACAAGAAGTATTAAGAACATTTTCAGATTTTTCTTTTTCACTCTTATTTACCACCTAATATTTGTAATAAAGACAAAAAAATAATATATCGGTAATAAATTAATTCTCTTATTTATCTTACAAAAGTATAATATAAGAGAGTAAGAAAGAGGGAATCTTTTATGAAAAAATGCAAGAGGATGACTATGAAAATAGATATGGTGTTAGGGATGGGTGTTTGCCTTACCCCTGCGAAGATCCGGCCTGACCTGGCCCAAGTGGGGTGGGGAATCCCCAGAAATATTGGGGATAGGGCTAGGGAGGGTCTTCAAAAAAATCCCTGCCCTAACCCATCAACCCTGCCCACGTGGAGCCCCGCCCCGTCTTCTTTTATTGAGAATTTTGTGTTTTCTTTTTTCTTTGCGAGATTATATATAAAATTAAAGTTTAAATAATGGTTTTAAGCAATATATCTAAATTTATGATATTTATTTTTATAATACTTTCTAATGTTTGTATTAAATTTATAGAAAAAATAATTTAAACGAGAGAGTTTAATAATTAAATATATGTATTATTATTTTGTGAATTTCACAAAATAATAATACATGACCCAAAAATAGATTTGATTAGATTATTACAATTTAGCAAACCAATATAAGAATATACATAATTACTTAACAACTTACAAATTATACAAATTCAATTATCTTTGTAATTAATTAATTGATAAATTAAATATGATGTTAAACTTAATCAATGGTGGGAATTTGGGATAATGAGATTTGTTCATTTCACAAATTGACTAATTTTATTAGTTGTAGTGGAGATAGTGTTTTATGAATTAATTCATTAATTTACCTAGTATATTATGTTAAGATTGAATTTAGTTATATTAATTTTATAAAAAATTAATTAATTAACAGGACTAACTAAGTCTAAGTCTCCATACAATTGAATAATTAAGCATTTTACTTAATAAATTATATTAAAATTAGATATAGATATATTTATTTTATGAAAAATTAATTAATTAACAGGGTTGATTAAGCCTAAGCGAGAAGTGGCCAAGCCTTCATACAATTAAATAAGTAATTAATTTACCTAGTAAATTATGTTAAGACTGAATTTAGTTATATTAATTTTATAAAAAAATTAATTAATTAACGGGATTAACTAACTTAGTAACAATTAAATTAGTTTATGGTTGTAGTTATGTATTGCTTTTTAACTCTTAATTTAAATTTTACAAGAAATTATTGATTTTATATTTTCTTACCTTAAATTTTATCTTTTTAATGAATTAATTACTAAAATTAAACAGTCAAATTGTCAAATATAATACTTTTCTGGTTTCTTCACATGCCATGCCACTCAATTACTCTCCTTTCTAATGACCATATTGCCTTTTCTCCTGGACCAATTCCCTCAAAACTTGTGGTCAACGATTTTCAAAACCAGGGTTATATCTCTTAATATGAATCTCTAAAACAAACCATATCTTATTCATAAGTTTAATCAGTTAAAAATATTCTTATAATTGAAAATGCACCTAAAATGGGGTGTTCGTGTTTGGAGAATATATTACTAAAAAGTGAAAACATAAAACAAAGAGTAGATGGTATTGGTGTGTGGGTCGACATGAAACGTCATACTCAGGAGGCTCTGCTCTTAATTGCTCCCAAGTATTTGTCTGGAGCGAGGCAAAGACATAAGGGCCATTTCATTTCAATTCAACAGTGGGTAACTGTGACATTCACATGAGAAGAGATGATGTGTTTCCATTGGACGCGTTGGCACTTGACAGGGGGATCACATGTAACCACACCATGCCATTACACCAGTCAAAATGGAATTCAAACTGATTAGCTCCCTCTGTGCTCACTCTGGCAAAAGGGATTGCAGTTGATTTTATTCTTCAGCATTTAAATCAAATACGATAAACTATGAATTCAAGATGTAGCATGGTTTAAGACCTGAGGACTGTGGCTCCACCCCACTGGAAAATTAAATGAATGTTGTTTTAACACTACATACATTATAGGGATATATACATTCAACTGGAGAGATTATGGATGATAAGTTTCTTGACCATTTCTTTACACTCTTTTAATTCGTAATTTTTGGCCCACTTTACTTTGTTGCTATAGAAAACTTTAACAAACAGAGAGATCCGATTGACTTTGACGGAATTAGAACAAATGTTTGCGTGATCAATGAAAAATCAGCAGTGAATGAAAAAAGAGACAAAGAAGAACACAGAGCAATTTTTAAAGTGATTCGGCAAGCTATATCTTAAATCTACATCCATTGTTTCTCTTATTGCTTTTGAGAATTACAAATAATTTATTTTTCCTAAAACAATTTTCTAACCCCTTTACACTATTTTTTGGGGGGTTTTTATAGGTGAATTTCGAATAGGTAAGCCCGACAAATCTGGGATAGCTATCTTGCTCGATATGAATCCCGTGATTTCTATGATTGTGCACCAAAGTTGGGCAGATCGAATGTCATTATTGTCTCCTCTGAGATATTAGGAGATAAGATTTATCCCTTGACTTGTCAAACAACTATTAAGTAGGTCGCAACGAGCTTCATGCACTTTCGAGCTTCATGCCCTTATGAGTTTCAGAATGTAACGAGCTTTAGATCACTGAGAGCTCTACATTGTACCAACGAGCTTAACGTTGGTTGAGCTACCAAAACTTCCGAACTTTACAGCAAACTCACGCACAACATACTTTTTATTCACATAATTTTGATTCATATATTGATAGACCTTAACAAAGATACAAGAAGTATTAAGAACATTTTCAGATTTTTCTTTTTCACACTTATTTACCACCTAATATTTGTAATAAAGACAAAAAAATAATATATCAGTAATAAATTAATTCTCTTATTTATCTTACAAAAGTATAATATAATAGAGTAAGAAAGAGGGAATCTTTTATGAAAAAATGCAAGAGGATGACTATGAAAATAGATTTGGTGTTAGGGATGGGCGTTTACCTTGGCCCTGCGAAGATCCGGCTTGACCTGGCCCAAATGGGGTGGGGAATCCCCATAAATATTGGGGATAGGGCCAGGGAGGGTCTTCAAAAAAATCCCTGCCCCCGCGGATGGGCCAAGGGAGGGGATTATGCAATCCCCGCCCCGACCCATCAACCCTGCCCACCTGGAGCCCTGCCCCGCCTTCTTTTATTGAGAATTTTATGTTTTCTTTTTTCTTTGTGAGATTATATATAAAATTAAAGTTTAAATAATGGTTTTAAGCAATATATCTAAATTTATGATATTTACTTTTATAATACTTTCTAATGTTTGTATTAAATTTATAGAAAAAATAATTTAAACGAGAAAGTTTAATAATTAAATATATATATATATTATTACTTTGTGAATTTCACAAAATAATAGTACATGACCCAAAAATAGATTTGATTAGATTATTACAATTTAGCAAACCAATATAAGAATATACACAATTACTTAACAACTTACAAATTATATAAATTAAATTATCTTTGTAATTAATTAATTGATCAATTAAATATGATGTTAAACTTAATCAATGTTGGGAATTTGGGATAATGAGATTTGTTCATTTCACAAATTGACTAATTTTATTAGTTGTAGTGGAGATAGTGTTTTATGAACTAATTCATCAATTTACCTAGTATATTATGCTAAGATTGAATTTAGTTATATTAATTTTATGAAAAATTAATTAATTAACAGGGCTAACTAAGTCTAAGCCTCCATACAATTGAATAATTAATCAATTTACCTAATAAATTATGTTAAGATTAGAGATAGATATATTTATTTTATGAAAAATTAATTAATTAACAGGACTAACTAAACCTAAGCCTCCATACAATTGAATAATTAAGCATTTTACCTAATAAATTATATTAAAATTAGATATAGATATATTTACTTTATGAAAAATTAATTAATTAACAGGGTTGATTAAGCCTAAGCGGGAAGTGGCTAAGCCTTCATACAATTAAATAAATAATTAATTTACCTAGTAAATTATGTTAAGACTAAATTTAGTTATATTAATTTTATAAAAAAAATTAATTAATTAACGGGACTAACTAACTTAGTAACAATTAAATTAGTTTATGGTGGTAGTTATGTATTGCTTTTTAACTCTTAATTTAAATTTTACAAGAAATTATTGATTTTATATTTTCTTACCTTAAATTCTGTCTTTTTAATGAATTAACTACTGAAATTAAACAGTCAAATTGTCAAATATAATACCTAATAACGTGCTAGTTCTCACAAGTAAAATAATTACAATAATTTAACATTATTGTAGTAGGAACATGCGGAAAGTTTTGATCCCTATGGGGCTAAAATCCCCACATGAAAAATTCCTCGTTCGGGGAAAAATCCCTCATGGGGAAAATTTCCTTGCGATGCTCCATTCATCGACCGGGACGAGATGGGACGAGGATGGGAGTGATTCCATCCCCACGGGCCGGCCCTGCCAGCGGGGATGGGCTAGGGATGGTCATGGGAGTGGGTATCGGGGAACGGGGTCCCGGGTCCCCGGCCCTGACCCGCTCCGCACCCATCCCTATTTGCTGTATTTGGAAATGCTCTATGTAAAAGAAATATCGAAAGAGAATGGGCCAAAACTTGCCCACGGCCCACTACGTCTTTGGGCAGCTCTGGCCCTGGCACCTTTCCATAGCTCCAATCTATGCCAAACATTCTGTTTTCTTAGTTCTTCCCATCAATCTAACAGCAATTCTGGTTTAACCATGATAAGCGTCCTCGCTCAGGCAATCCTCTGTTCTTTCATCACCAATTCTTCAATCCATTATTATTATTAATCTTTTTTTGGGTCTTTAATTTAATCGATACATGTTACTCATGGTAATGTAGTATTAATTTTGCCGTTATTTTATTTTGGGAAATGCAGGAGCGATTGCTCGGTGCAGTGCTTGGGAGCGTAGTTACTGGACTAATTGTTTTTGAGCAACGAAAACGCATCTATGAATCCATTGCCGATGATCAATCTCAAGTTGGTTCCAAATCCCAGGTACATTTTGCTATCTGTTGGTTTTGTTTCCTCAAACCCTAGAAATATAATTTGCAACTTGTGCTTGATAATTTATTTATTTTTATAAGAGCCCTTCTATTCTCAAGGTTTCCCAATAGAGTATTTTTCAAGGTTCTCTATATTCATTGGTTTCCTATTTATAATTTTTTGAGGTTTCATGGATCAATTCTGTCTAAGTGCTTTATAATATAATTTTTATCGGATAATACTTCTTTTTCATAAAGAGAGTAAATGTATTTAGTCCTGAGGGTTTGGTTGAGTGGTCTGGTTTATGGTTTGCTACCTCATGAAACTATTGTAGGTTTAACGGGGCCCTTGTTTCTAAATCGAATTCCACTAAGAGATTCAGATGATTCTTTGCTTTTAAAAGAGAGGAGAATGTTGGAATTGTTAGTTGCTTATAATTCTCCATACAGTAGACTATATAACCGATTGGATTATTTAAGTTATATACATAGGATATACAGGTTCTGCTTAAATGGTTTTGTTGGTGCTGGGTAATTAAAACGGATTCTGCATAACTTCTTGGTTGGCAATATAGTAGTTTTTGTGTATGTCTTTATATGGTTTAGATATCTTTTGTTTTGGTGGGTGGTAAATCTGCACTTGACCAAGCTCAGAAGTTTTAGATAACGTGATAATTCTTCATCTGGTGAATTTTTCAAATGTTGGGTATCCATGAGACGACCTAAAAGTGATAGATGGAATGGGGTGGTCTTCCCTTTTTCTGTTAAGCAATCAATGGGTTTTAGATGATGCAATTAACTTAATGCTGTGAAGTGAAATATGGAGAAATGAGTGGAGGCCAGATTGGTGCATTGGAATAAAATCTTCTTGTTAGAATTTGGGTTTTTAAAATGTATCCCATGCCTCTTTTTTTCCCCTTGCAATATCTTTTGATTAAAATTATTTGATGACTGTCTGCATCGTAGTGCTGAAGTTGCATTCATATAGCTTCAGATCATAGATTTTGATTTCTACAGAAATTTGTAGCTGTATTATAGAACTATGAAATCTATGTCTTAAATTACTGGGAATTATCATCCGTGAGTGAGAAACCATTAACTTCATGGTAGATATAAATGAAGTGGTCATAAATATTACGAAAGGTGCAAGACTACCAGAAATTTCTTTTATAAGTTAAAATCCACATTTGTAGTGCATTATGTTCTAACAGCTTTTACTTTGAACTTCTTCCAGACAAGAGAGCCCATATTTGCAAAGAAAACACGCTCAGAGTTTGCACAATTATGGAACAAGACTGTAGACCAGACTTTTGGACCTGTGATTGCAACTCTTAGTTCTCGAAAATGGTAGTGGTATTGGAGTAAATTCACTGCCATTGTATGGATCAATATATTATTTTGTGACAATTATACAAGTAGTGGCTTGCCTGGATCTGTATTTTCCTACATTTTTTGAATATATGAGGGACATGCATCTGTGACCCTGAGAGTGGATCATGTTTAAGGACTTGTATAATAAATGTCTTGTGGTTATTGTTGTTCTTTACTCATCTTTATGATATTGATGCAAATTACCATTGTCAACTGTAAATAAAATTGATTGGACTTGCACAGAACTTAATATTATTCATGAGAGAGTGCAGAAACAGAGAGGATATCTTTTTAATTATTTTAATGTGAATGTCTTGTTTGCAAGATCAAATATTGAAATATCTTTGTTCTTGTATTATTAGTGCTAGAAATCATTAGAAAAATATCGTTGCAGTGAACTAGACAAATTGTGTTATTTTCAACATAAGAATGCGACATGATACAGTTCAATACGACCCAACAAGTTTCTACAAGGACCCGAAGTTTGTCAGTTTTTTTGTTGGATCCTGATTCCTGCCATTACTCATTCATGTAAATGTTATAAGTTGATGCAGTGATGGCAACTTACAGGGCCTGGACCCAGTTGTTGAAGGAGCAAAACCAGATTTGGGTCTACGCTTGGGTTTCTGCACCCTGAACTGGGTCCGAAGCAATCAAAAGCCGCTTTTCAAATGAGACCAAGTGACCATGGACAAACACCTATATAACTGTAAGTTTTAGCTTCTTTCTTTTGTACTTTGATGAAGCACATGCTATAAGAGCAACAAAAGAAGTGAAATCTTGGTTATATTAAGTAATCTGTTCCAATAAAATCATATATTTAGTTTATATTTGGATTGGCAGGTGTTGCATTTGTTGGTAATAGAGGAGTTAGACCAGTTCCACCCAAAAAAGGAGTTCCCTAAAATAGTCTTAGGCCATATGCATCTATGTGATTCAGCAGGTGATGCATTTGGTGTCAAGGGGACTGCAACTGAAGCATAACATTTCAAAATAAATAATATAATCTGCTTTAAACTGATAACTCATTATATTCTAGTCAAGAAACAGTGTTTCTTTCTTCAACTTCTCGGTTGCCAATTTTTGGCCGTATTATAAATGCTGTTTATTGCCATAATTACCAAAATAATATCTTTCGTATAATAACGGTAACATGACAGTTGTTTGACATATTATAGATTTCTTTGTTGACTCTCAGGAGCTACAGTTCTCTGTCTCCCTCTCCCATTGCGTGCAATCATAATGTTGAATGATTCAATCACCCTTTTAATTGATACATAAATCACCCTTTAACACTATACTCATATAATTTTCGAGTACCATACAATCCATCACTGATGAAATCAGAGGTACATATATTCCATAACCCACATTACAAAAAACAATAAATAGCATACAAGAAGGTATGGATTAGAATACAGAAGAGCATGGAGAGGACTGAGCGAGGCTTCATCTAACTATCATTAAAAACCTTATAATTATGAGCAAATAAAATATTTAGTAACTGAACATAATTTACTCACTTGTGAAATCATCACTCTATATGTTAAACACCCATTTGCAGAAGCACAAAAAATACAGAACCAAACACAATGCTAGCAGCACCCCAAGAACCAGCAACTCTGCTTCCACTGTTGGGAAATCTTGAGCTTTCGCTTTCATGAGCTTTAGTAGCCTCCACTTGAGCTGCTAATGGTAATGGAGAACAATTAGATGAAGCGCAAGGGTTAAAGGTTTCAGGTTTTTGTGTTTTCGGATGAAAGAATTCAACTGCTGAAGGTGGGAAAGTCATGGGATTTGCATAAAGCAGCCCATGTGGAGCTCTGTCTTGAGCTCTGGCAAAGGAGAAAAAGGCTAGAGAAGCCAAGAAGAAGAGGAAAAGGGAAGTTAGTTGACTCATAGTTGTTTCACTTGTTTTTACTCCTGGATGACTTTTAAGCTAAAGCAAAAGTTGTTTTTGTATGAAATATTTTTGAAGGTTTGAAATGAGTTATATAGTGGATTGGGAAGTGGTTGTTGCTTGGGATAGAATTTTGGTGATGTACAAGATTGTTAGCAAAGTAGAGAACAAAATGATGGGAATTAATGATTTCTTTGCCATCTTGGTGTGAAATCAATGGATTCCCTCAATTGCCCTCTTCAAGCTATCCTTTTTGGAAAACATGCCACAAGTTTATATGAATTCCAAATTTCCCATTGAATACTATGTTTAGATTAAGTAATCACTTATAAAGGCAAGTCTTAATATTTTTATTATTAGATTTGCGTGATGAACTCGAGCTATGTGCTTCACCTTGTATGCATGAAGGCAAATAACATGTCAACATTCTGCCACAAAGACGTTTTCAGACACTGGATAGTTCAAAAATGCATAAACGCAAACAAGCATTGAATCTATGTCGACGGCAACAATTCAAGCAGTGGAATTATATACTCGGTGATCCAAAAGCCAGATAAAAAACCTTCAAAGAGTGCAGGTGTTACTCATGAACAAAATTCTGGGCTGGTGTATGTAATGTCTCTTGATTGTCACCATAGACCCATCTTGAAGCAATCCCATATATACTAAACCAAATGAACCTTCACCTATGATGTTACTGTCACTGAAATTGTTTGTAGCATGTTCAGCTCCAAACACGCTAAACTGCCTTAAATTTTGCGTGCCATTAGGAGAACAGCACCAGCATAGGGGTATTCGTCCAGCTCAGCTGGTTGATGGAAAAAGGTAAAAAAGAGGAAACTTATAACATTTACCTAGTAGCAGAGTAGAACCTACATTTTTATGAGGGAGCATCATATTATTGCAAGCATGATGCTGAAGAAGCACATCATCTTATCTCACTCTTCCACTCAAACAATTGAGTATTCTCATTACTAACATATATTTTGTCGCATAATAACAAAAGTTAACTTACCAGAAGGAGATGGTACAGAAGTTTCTCATCAGATTTTGCCTTATTGATCTTTTAACACGCATCAAGCAGTACATCACAAGCACCATGAAGCCAACAACAAGCAGAGCTGCACAACACCACCACCACTATGCAGCCACTCTCTGTTTCCTCGGTTTCTTAACATCGTTTTGTTGCAACGGTGTAAGTGTCGGAACACCACTGTTCCCATCAAACGAAGCTGCCATCCCCTGTTTCTGAGTGCACGGATTCAGGAATCCTTTGGAAGTATAAAATCCTAGGATATCAATTTAGTTTCTTTCTAAATTAAATAAACATCTGTATCCTATTTATTATGCTCTAGCTGTGGCCATATTATGTAAGCCAAAACTTTAAAACAAATATCACAGAAAGAACATATAACAAGTTATGGTATGGACCACCACTTTCATGCAAGAGGATGAGAGAAGCTTACAAAGAAACAACACCTGTGTCTTTCGCAACATAACAGCTGAGACATGCCCGTTGTCTTATGCATGGATACCTTCAATCTTATCACTTGATTGCCCAGGACTGTCAAGTGGCACTCTGCAAGCAAGTAAAGCTTCACTGCAGCAGAAGCACCCAAGAAATCAGTATCCAAGACTATTTCAAAATCAGAACGCTTAACAAGACAGAAATTGAAGGCAAATCTGGTTCGTTGAGTGAAAAAACAACTAAAGGAACCTGGTGTTCTATATATGGCACTCAGGAATTTGTTGCCATACCAAGCCTGTAATCAAATCAACTAAAATAATGGTGTCAACCTTTAAATTTTCAAGAAAGTATACGCTAAGCTAGCAGTGCAGAAGAATACTGCAATATAGAATCAAGATTATATAGAAACAGTTCTGACTAGGTTTCCATCCAATCTTTATGAGAGAACAAAAGAAATCAACTTAGAGGGGAAAAAATAGATCAGCATACCGTGATTTTGTGGTTTTGCTACTGGGTTCTAAGAGTTGAATCAGTATAAGCAGTGGCATTTGTTGCCACCAGAACAAGCGCAGTGTCAAACAACCATCAATCCATTGAGTCCCCGAGAGTCAACTGCCATCAAATCTCAAAGAAATCACTGAGCCCTGCATAAATTCAACAAAAGAATGAGTCAGTTGATTAGGTTTTTTTAACTAAATGAGTAAAAAGTATTAAAAAAAAATATTCACCCACATTTCGATTGAAAACATGCAATGAATTATCGGAAAGGTTTATTTTACAAAATGTTAAATGACTTTCATCTGGTGATACACAAGAAGCATTTCACTCAATAAGAAAACAAATAAAAACCTTGTGTCTTCATGATGAAACAGAAATCAATTGAAGTAGGAAACAGATTGAAATCACCAAACAATGCAGGTTCACTAACATAAGAGCCAAGAGTGGAAATCCTTCTGTGTAAATTACGAGAATAATGGAGTTCAAATAGCACAAATCTCTATGTCTATGGAGAGATTCTACTGGTAGCATTTAGCTGGATAGTACTAGGAAGTAACAATGTTAGGACATTATGTCCAAACTGATTGAATCACGCCTTTCTTGTCCAGAATTCCAGCTAAGCAGGAAAAAAGTGACTGTAGAATAACAAAAGATGCTTTCTTATTTGAAATGGACAGAGACATCTCTGGTTTTTCTAAACGGCTAAAAAGCCTAAAACACCACAAAATTCTATTCTCTGGAGGAAAAATCAAATTCCAATCCCAAAGAATACCCCCAAATCTCATAAAGCTAATGCCTGGAACCCCACTTGAATGTTTGCTCTGATGAGAAGTTTAAAGTTGTAATGAAGAAGGAAAACATTTAGCAGTGTAACTTAAAAACCTCTAGGCAGACAATAGAATTCCTGTGAAGCTTGAAATTTTGAAAGTCAAAAGTTTCACTGTAAAGCAATAATAGAACTGGATAGAATCTAGTCAGACCTGTCACACAGATCTGAACATTATTGTTTAAAGTAAAAAACTTTTGGGCTTTTCAGCTTAAGTGGAGAACTATAAATCCGGAAACTTGTTTAAGACAAAGCAAATGCAACTAGAAAGTAATGAATTACATCAAACATTTCACAGAATTGCCATATTGATGATACACTGAGACCAAACATGTAACTAACTTTTCACTGCCCTGCAGAGAAAAATAATAATTCAGAGAAGACAGTAGCTGTCAGAAAGTCATCAATAAAGAACCATGCAGGGTGGCTTTTTACAGTTCCCAGAGGCTGAGGCCTCCTCAGTAGGTATGCCTTGAAGAACCAAACTTCCAAAAAGCGGCTAAAGACAATTACGAACATTTAATGCACATACACTCTTTCAAAGTGGGACCGAATTTCATATTAGGCAAAAGAACAGTTCTTTCTGGTTTCTTCACATGCCATGCCACTCAATTACTCTCCTTTCTAATGGCCATATGCCTTTCTCCTGGACCAATTCCCTCAAACATGTGGTCACCGATTTTCAAAACCAGGGTTATATCTCTTAATATGAATCTCTAAACAAACCCTATCTATTCATAAGTTTAATCAGTTAAAAATATTCTTAATTGAAAATGCACCAAAAATGGGTGTTTGTGTTTGGAGAATAATTACTAAAAGTGAAAACATAAAACAAAGAGTAGAGGTATTGGTGTGTGGTCGACATGAAACGTCATACTCAGGAGGCTCTGCTCTAATTGCTCCCAAGTATTTGTCTGAGCGAGGCAAAGAATAAGGGCCATTTCATTTCAATTCAACAGTGGGTAACTGTGACATTCAATGAGAAGAGATGATGTGTTCCATTGGACGCGTTGGCACTTGACAGGGGGATCACATGTAACCACACCATGCCTTACACCAGTCAAAATGGAATTCAAACTGATTGCTCCCTCTGCTCACTCGCACAAAAGGGATTGCAGTTGATTTATTCTTCAGCATTTAAATCAAATACGATAAACTATGAATTCAAGATGTAGCATGTTTTAACCTGAGGACTGTGGCTCCACCCCACTGGAAAATAATGAATGTTGTTTTATCACTACATACATTATAGGGATATAACATTCAACTGGAGAGATTATGGATGATAATTTTTCTGACCATTTCTTACACTCTTTTAATTCGTATTTTGGCCCCTTTACTTTGTTGCTATGAAAACTTTAAAAAACAAGAGAGATCCGATGACTTTGACGGAATTGAACAATGTTTGCGTGCTCATTGAAAAATCAGCAGTGAATGAAAAAAGACAAAGAAGAACACAGAGCAATTTTAAAGTGATCGGCAAGCTATATCTTAAATCTACATCCATTGTTTCTCTTATTGCTTTGAGAATTACAAATAATTTATTTTTCCTAAAACAATTTCTAACCCCTTTACACTATTTTTTGGGGGTTTTTATAGGTGAATTTCGAATAGGTAGCCCGACAAATCTGGGATAGCTATCTTGCTCGATATGAATCCCGTGATTTCTATGATTGTGCACCAAAGTTGGGCAGATCGAATGTCATTATTGTCTCCTCTGAGATATTAGGAGATAAGATTTATCCCTTGACTTGTCAAACAACTATTAAGTAGGTCGCACACGAGCTCAGCACTTTCGAGCTTCATGCCCTTATGAGTTTCAGATGTAACGAGCTTTAGATCACTGCGAGCTCTATATTGTACCAGCGAGCTTAACGTTGGTTGAGCTACCAAAACTTCCGAACTTTACAGCAACTCACGCACAACATACTTTTTATTCACATAATTTTGATTCATATTGATAGACCTTAACAAAGATACAAAGAAGTATTAAGAACATTTTCAGATTTTTCTTTTTCACTCTATTACCACCTAATATTGTAATAAAGACAAAAAAAATAATATATCGGTAATAATAATTCTCTTATTTATCTTACAAAAGTATAATATAAGAGAGTAAAGAAGAGAATCTTTTTAGAAAAAATGCAGAGAATGACTATGAAATGATATGGTGTTAGGGTGGGTGTTTTCTACCCTGCAAATCCGGCCTGACCTGGCCCAAGTGGGGTGGGGAATCCCCAATATTGGGATAGGGCTAGGGAGGTCTTCAAAAAAATCCCTGCCCTAACCTCAACCCTGCCCGGGATCCCCCGCCCCGTCTTCTTTTATTGAGAATTTTGTGTTTTTCTTTTTTCTTTGCGAGATTATATATAAAATTAAAGTTTAAATAATGGTTTTGCATATACTAAATTTATGATATTTATTTTTTATCTTTCTAATGTTTGTATTAAATTTATAGAAAAAATAATTTAACAGAGAGTTTAATATTAATATATGTATTATTATTTTGTGAATTTCACAAAATAATAATACATACCAAAATAGATTTGATTAGATTATTACAATTTAGCAAACCAATATAAAATATACATAATTACTTAACAACTTACAAATTATACATTCAATTATCTTTGTAATTAATTAATTGATAAATTAAATATGATGTTAACTTACATGGTGGAATTTGGGATAATGAGATTGTTCATTTCACAAATTGACTAATTTTATTAGTTGTAGTGGAGATAGTGTTTTATGAATTAATTCATTAATTTACCTAGTATTATATGTTAAGATTGAATTTGTTTATATTATTTTATAAAAAATTATTAATTAACAGGACTAACTAAGTCTAAGTCTCCATACAATTGAAATAATTAAGCATTTACTTATAAATTATTAAAATTAGATATAATATATTTATTTTATGAAAAATTAATTAATTAACAGGGTTATTAAGCCTAAGCGAGAAGTGGCCAACTTCATACAATTAAATAAGTAATTAATTTACTAGTAAATTATGTTAAGACTGAATTTAGTTATATTAATTTTATAAAAAATTAATTATTAACGGATTAACTAACTTAGTAACATTAAATTAGTTTATGGTTGTAGTTATTATTGCTTTACTCTTAATTTAAATTTTACAAGAAATTATGATTTTATATTTTCTTACCTTAATTTTATCTTTTTATGAATTAATTACTAAATTAAACAGTCAAATTGTCAAATATATACCTAATAACGTGCTAGTTTCTCACAAGTAAAATATTACGATAATTTAACATTTTGTCGTAGAACATGCGGAAAGTTTCGATCCCTATGGCTAAATCCCCACATGAAAATTCCTCGTTCGGGGAAAAATCCCCCATGGGAAAATTTCCTTGCGATGCTCATTCATGGACCGAGACGAGGATGGGAGTGATTCCATCCCCACGGCCAGCCCTGCCATGTGGAATGGGCCGGGATGGTCAGGGAGTGGGATAGGGTTCCCGGTCCCCCCCCCCCCCCCCCCCCCCCTCCCCCCCCATCTTTGTATTTGGAATGCTCTATATAAAAGAAATATCGAAGAGATGGGCCAAACTTGCCCACGGCCCACTACGTCTTTGGGCACTCTGGCCCTGGCACCTTTCCATAGCTCCATCTATGCCAAACATCTGTTTTTCTAGTTTTTTCCCATCAATCTAACAGCAATTCTGGTTTAACCATATAAGCGTCCTCGCTCAGGCAATCCTCTGTTCTTTCATCACCAATTCTTCATTCGATTATTATTATAACTTTTTTTGGGTCTTATTTAATCGACATGTTACTCATGGTAATGTAGTATTAATTTTGCCGTTATTTTATTTTGGGAAATGCAGGAGCGATTGCTCGGTGCAGTGCTTGGCGAGGTTACTGACTAATTGTTTTTGAGCAACGGAACGCATCTATGATCCTGCGATGATCAATCTCAAGTTGGTTCCAAATCCCGGTACATTTTGCTATCTGTTGGTTTTGTTCCTCAAACCCTAGAAATAATTTGCAACTTGTGCTTGATAATTTATTTATTTTTATAAGAGCCTTTCTATTCTCAAGGTTTCCCAATAGAGTATTTTTCAAGGTTCTCTATATTCATTGGTTTCCTATTTATAATTTTTGAGGTTTCATGGATCAATTCTGTCTAGTGCTTTATAATATATTTTTATCGGATAATACTTCTTTTCATAAAGAAGTAATGTATTTAGTCCTGAGGGTTTGGTTGAGTGTCTGGTTTTTGTTTGCTACCTCATGAAACTATGTAGGTTTAACGGGGACCCTTGTTTCTAAATCGAATTCCACTAAGAGATCAGATGATTCTTTGCTTGTAAAAGAGAGAGAATGTTGGAATTGTTAGTTGCTTATATCTCCTAACGTAGACTTATAACCGATTGGATTATTTAAGTTATATACATAGGATATACAGGTTCTGCTTAAAGTGTTGGTTGGTGCTGGGTAATTAAAACGGATTCTGCATAACTTCTTGGTTGGCAATATAGTAGTTTTGTGTATTCTTTATATGGTTTAGATATCTTTTGTTTTGGTGGGTGGTAAATCTGCACTTGACCAAGCTCAGAAGTTTTAGATAACGTGATAATCTTCATCTGGTGATTTTTCAAATGTTGGTTATCCATGAGACGACCTAAAAGTGATAGATGGATGGGGTGGTCTTCCCTTTTTCTGTTAGCATCAATGGGTTTTAGATGATGCAATTAACTTAATGCTTGAAGTGAATAGGAGAGAATGAGTGGAGGCCAGATTGGTGCATTGGAATAAAATCTCTTGTTAGAATTTGGGTTTTTAAAATGTATCCCATGCCTCTTTTTTTCCCCTTGCAATATCTTTTGATAAAATTATTTGATGACTGTCTGCATCGTAGTGCTGAAGTTGCATTCATATAGCTTCAGATCATAGATTTTGATTTCTACAGAAATGTAGCGTATTATAGAACTATGAAACTATTGTCTAAATTACTGGGAATTATCATCCGTGAGTGAGAAACCATTAACTTCATGGTAATATAAATGAAGGTGTCTAAATATTATGAAAGTGCAAGACTACCAGAATTCTTATCCTGAGTTAAAAGTAATAAAACAAAATAGTCACCCACATTTCAGATTGAAAAACATGCAATGAAGTTTTCTTTTACAAAATGTTAATAAGACAAATTAGGGTATAATAGACATTTCAGCTTGAAAACATTAGCAAAATACATAATTTTCCACTCTACTGTAGCAGTCTGATAGGGATTATAATAATTTTTCAGATTTCACTGGACCATAGTGATACTTTCTCCAAATTTTGGGATGAAAATGTCATTAACTCAAGAGGATCGAAACGTTACCCGAAAAGTCAGAACTTTGAGCAAATCTTACGGAGGAAATTGTCACTATCCCAAAGTACGGAGCATGCGTGTAACTCGTGACTCGGTAAAATGTGTGGCTTTATAGTGGAAAAAAAATCCCCTTCAATTTCGGTAAAGTTACACTTTTTACTTTAACCCCTTGCGAATTGTATAATTGCACTATTCACTCAAAAGTTGGACCAGTCATCCATCTTAGAAAGATGGTTAAGTTTGAGAGAGCGACTGATTTAAGGAAGTTTCTAAGATAGTTAAGTTTGTGAGAGCGGCTGATTTAAGGAAGTATTGGCCATGTTTGTTTCACTCTTATGAATTATTTTTCTGTTATCATATTTAGATTAAAAAAACAGAATATGTGTATATTTGTTTATTGTGATCATTATAACAATGCATGATCAACTAGACTTGACCAGTTGCGCGCCAATCTGATCGTTGACAGCCATATTCTGACCAAATCCAACTGGTCATGGGTCGTTCAGACGATTGCCAACTACTGTTCGACGGTAGTGGCTGATGGTTGACTGTCCAATTGGGTGGTTGGTGTGCTTTAATTAATTTTTAAACTTTTATTGTGATTGATGTTTAGTTAAATTAATAAATGAAGGGGATTAAAAATAATCTAAATATTTTCAAAAAATATACCAAACAACTATTCAACATTTTATCAAACTCTAACATAATTTTCAGATATTATACCAAAAACATTATCAGAATCATATTCTATTCAATTTAATCCAATTCAACTCAACTTAAAATAATTTTTCAGAATAACATTTTTTCAAATAATATACCAAACAGGCCCAAATGTCTCAGTTTTTATACCGTAGATTTGAATATGTATTCTCCTTACAATAGTATCGACTTCATATATTTTTCCTCTCCTAAATTCAATATACATCCAAAGTGATGTGGTTTACAATTGAATTTCTTCTATAAACTTGCAATGCTACAACTAATAAATCCAATAAAGAATTGAGTAGAAGACAGAATTCAAGTGAATAGCTCACTCCCAAGTGTTACTGCACCTATTTCAGAACGCAACCCACTAATTTCCCTCTCTTGAATCCCTTCCAACTCCATAACGATATGCCTCATCGATGGCCTCCTCTCACTAACATCAACACATTGCAATGCCAACTCTATCATCTCTTTTGCAGTGTCCACTGTTTGGTTTCCTATTGTCTTATCCACATAGTCCCCAACATCACTGCTTCTTTTAGCCTTTAAAAGAAAATTGAATTTTGTCAAAAGTAGAGTAGCTTTCGTATCTCCTCAATAATAACACTGATGGCAGAAAGCCATCTTTTCCTGACTTTTAGATTGAAACTTCCCATTTACCTGCAATACTAAGTTTTGGTCTGCATTTGACTGATTTCTGCTATTTGCTTCATGTCCACTGGTCAACTCCAGTAAGAAGACCCCGAAACTATACACATCACTTCCTGCTGAAAAGTGATTTGATCGATTCAACCTTTCGAAAAAAAACCAGTATCAGAAATGACAAGTCTAAGCTAAACTCCTGTCAATCATGGAAACTAATACAAAAAGAATAACATACTGAAATGTTCATGCAATTTGGCTTGAAAGAATGCACAATTAAAGATGGTGGGACTTCAAGCGGGGATAATATCCATACCAAATTTACTAAAGTAAAACATAACAGTTTGCCAAGATTCAGATTAAGGAATTATTACATACTCTGGATCGAGAAAGCAGTCGATGGCTGAAGATGATCCCACACGAGGATCCTCAATTAGCAATTTAGATAATCCATAGTCAGAAATTTTTGCTGTAAAATTCTCATCCAGAAGGACATTCCTAGTTCTGAAGTGCATGTGAAAGAGAGGAGGAACTAAACTGTGAAGGTGTTCAAGGCCTGATCAAATATATAAGTATGATTGAAAACTAGTTTCACGGTACAGCAGAAAATGAAAAGGAACATTATTATTTAGTGCATATTACCTTTTGCTGCACCTATAGCTATTAATAACCTTTGCCGCATATTTAGCTTTCCAATTGGTAAACCTTCACTATCTGGAAAAAGAAAATATGAACTTTGAGAGATCAAGAATTTTTTGGGGTGGAGGAAGGGGGAAGAGATGATAGATTACCATATAGGAAGTTTCCAACATTTCCATTACTGATATAATCATAGACAAGAAACTGTTGGTGGTTTTCTTCACAATATCCTACAAGCCTGACAAGATGCCGATGATGAACTCGAGCTATGTGCTTCACCTGTATAGCATGAAGGCAAATAAACATGTTCATACATTCTGCCACAAAGACAGTTTTCAAGACACTGATAGTTCAAAAATGCATAAAGCCAAACAAGCATTGAATCTATGTCTGCACGGCACAATTCAAGCAGTGGAAGTATTAATTACTCGGTGATCCAAAAGCCAGATAAAAAACCTTCCAAAGAGTGCAGGGTTTACCTCATGAACAAAATTCTGGGCTGGTGTATGTAGATGTCTCTTGATTGTCACCATAGACCCATCTTGAAGCAATCCCATATAAACTAAACCAAATGAACCTTCACCTATGATGTTACTGTCACTGAAATTGTTTGTAGCATGTTTCAGCTCCAAGACAGCTAACTGCCTTAAATTTTGCGTGCCATCACCAGCATAGGGGTAAGTTCTGTCCAGCTCAGCTGTTGATGGAAAAAGGTAAAAAAGGAGGAAACTTTATTAACAATATTACCTAGTAGCCAGAGTAGAACCTACATTTTTATGAGGGAGCTAATATTATTTGCAAGCATGATGCTGAAGAAGCACATCATCTTATCTCACTCTTCCACATCAAACAATTGAGTACTTCATTACTAACATATTATTTTGTCGCATAATAACAAAAGTTAACTTACCAGAAGGAGATGGTACAGAAGTTTCTGCATCAGATGTTTGCCTTATTGATCTTTTAACACGCATCAAGCAGACATACACAAGCACCATGAAGCCAACAACAAGCAGAGCTGCACCAACACCACCAACTATGGCAGCCACTCTCTGTTTCCTCGGTTTCTTAACATCGTTTTGTTGCAACGGTGTAAGTGTCGGAACACCACTGTTCCCATCAAACGAAGCTGCCATCCTCCTGTTTCTTGAGTGCACGGATTTCAGGAATCCTTTGGAAGTATAAAATCCTAGGATATTAATTTAGTTTCTTTCTAAATTAAATAAAACATCTGTATCCTATTGATTATGCTCTAGCTGTGGCCATTATTATTGTAAGCCAAAACTTTAAACAAATATATCACAGAAAGAACATATAACAAGTATGGAGTATGGACACCACTTTCATGCAAGAGGGGATGAGAGAGAGCTTACAAAGAAACAACACCTGTGTCTTTTGCTACATAACAGCTGAGACATGCCCGTTGTCTTATGCATGGATACCTTTCAATCTTATCACTTGATTGCCCAGGACTGTCAAGTGCACTCTTGCAAGCAAGTAAAGCTTCAGCTGCAGCAGAAGCACCAAGAAATCAGTATCCAAGACTATTTCAAAATTCAAGAACGCTTAACAAGACAGAAATTTGAAGGCAAATCTGGTTCGTTGAGTGAATAAACCAACTAAAGGAACCTGTGTGTTCTATATATGGCACTCAGGAATTTGTTGCCATACCAAAAGCCTGTAAATCAAATCAACTAAAATAATGGTGTCAACCATTTAAATTGTTTCAAGAAAGTAAATACGCTAAGCTAGCAGTGCACGAAGAATACTGCATCATATACTTCATTTTTTTCATTTAAGCAGAATCAAGATTATATAGAAACAGTTCTGACTAGGGTTTCCATCTAAATCTTTATGAGAGAACAAAAGAAATCAAACTTAGAGGGGAAGAAAATAGATACAGCATACCGTAGATTTTGTGGTTTATGCTACTGGGTTCTAAGAGTTGAATCAATATAAGCAGTGGCAGTTGTTGCCACCAGAACAAGCGCATTGTCAAACAACCATCAATCCATTGAGTCCCCAAGAGTCAATGACCATCAAATCTCAAATGAAATCACTGAGCCCCTGCATAAATTCAACAAAGAGAATGAGTCAGTTGATTATTAGGTTTTTTTAACTAAATGAGTAAAAAGTATTAAAAAAAAAAATAGTCACCCACATTTCAGATTGAAAAACATGCAATGAATTATCGGAAGAGGTTTTATTTTACAAAATGTTAAAATGACTTTCATCTGGTGATACACAAGAAGCATTTCACTCAATAAGAAAACAAATAAAAACCTTGTGTCTTCATGATGGAAACAGAAATCAATTGAAGTAGGAAACAGAATTGAAATCACCAAACAATGCAGGTTCACTAACAATAAAAGCCAAGAGTGGAAATCCTTCTGTGTAAATTACGAAGAATAATGGAGTTCAAATAGCACAAATCTCTATGTCACTATGGAGAGATTCTACTGGTAGCATTTAGCTGGATAGGTACTAGGAAAGTAACAATTTGAGGACATTATGTTCCAAACTGATTGAATCACGCCTTTCTTGTCCAGAATTCCAGCTAAGCTAGGAAAAAAGTAACTGTAGAAGACACAAAAGATGCTTTCTTTATTGAAATGGACAGAGACATCTCTGGTTTTTCTAAACGGCTAAAAAGCCTAAAACACCACAAAAGTCTTATTCTTTGGAGGAAAAATCAAATTCCAAATCCCAAAGAATACCCACCAGAATCTCATAAAGCTAATGCCTGGAACCCCATTTGAATGATTTGTGTCTGATGAGAAGTTTAAAGTTTTGTAATGAAGAAGGAAAACATTTAGCAGTGTAACTTAAAAACCTCTAGGACAGACAATAGAATTCCTGTGAAGCTTGAAATTTTGAAAGTCAAAAGTTTCACTGTAAAGCAATAATAGAACTGGAGAGAATCTAGTCAGACCTGTTACACAGGATTCTGAACATTATTTGGTTTAAAAGTAAAAAACTTTTGGGCTTTTACAGCTTAAGTGGAGAACTATAAATCCCGGAAACTTGTTTAAGACAAAGCAAATGCAACTAGAAAGTAATGAATTACATCAAACAGTTTCACAGAGAAGTTACCAATATTGATGATACACTGAGACCAACATGTAACTAACTTTTCACTGCCCTGCAAAATAAAAATAAATAATTTAAGAGAAAGACAGTAAAGAACCATGCAGGGTGGTTTTTTACAGTTCCCAGAGGCTGAGGCCTCCTTAGTAGGTATGCCTTGAAGAACCAAAACTTCCAAAAAAGCGGCTAAAGACAATTACGAACATTTAATGCACATACACTCTTTCAAAGTGGGACCGAATTTCATATTAGGCAAAAGAACAGTTCTTCAANTCACCCACATTTCAGATTGAAAAACATGCAATGAATTATCGGAAGAGGTTTTATTTTACAAAATGTTAAAATGACTTTCATCTGGTGATACACAAGAAGCATTTCACTCAATAAGAAAACAAATAAAAACCTTGTGTCTTCATGATGGAAACAGAAATCAATTGAAGTAGGAAACAGAATTGAAATCACCAAACAATGCAGGTTCACTAACAATAAAAGCCAAGAGTGGAAATCCTTCTGTGTAAATTACGAAGAATAATGGAGTTCAAATAGCACAAATCTCTATGTCACTATGGAGAGATTCTACTGGTAGCATTTAGCTGGATAGGTACTAGGAAAGTAACAATTTGAGGACATTATGTTCCAAACTGATTGAATCACGCCTTTCTTGTCCAGAATTCCAGCTAAGCTAGGAAAAAAGTAACTGTAGAAGACACAAAAGATGCTTTCTTTATTGAAATGGACAGAGACATCTCTGGTTTTTCTAAACGGCTAAAAAGCCTAAAACACCACAAAAGTCTTATTCTTTGGAGGAAAAATCAAATTCCAAATCCCAAAGAATACCCACCAGAATCTCATAAAGCTAATGCCTGGAACCCCATTTGAATGATTTGTGTCTGATGAGAAGTTTAAAGTTTTGTAATGAAGAAGGAAAACATTTAGCAGTGTAACTTAAAAACCTCTAGGACAGACAATAGAATTCCTGTGAAGCTTGAAATTTTGAAAGTCAAAAGTTTCACTGTAAAGCAATAATAGAACTGGAGAGAATCTAGTCAGACCTGTTACACAGGATTCTGAACATTATTTGGTTTAAAAGTAAAAAACTTTTGGGCTTTTACAGCTTAAGTGGAGAACTATAAATCCCGGAAACTTGTTTAAGACAAAGCAAATGCAACTAGAAAGTAATGAATTACATCAAACAGTTTCACAGAGAAGTTACCAATATTGATGATACACTGAGACCAACATGTAACTAACTTTTCACTGCCCTGCAAAATAAAAATAAATAATTTAAGAGAAAGACAGTAAAGAACCATGCAGGGTGGTTTTTTACAGTTCCCAGAGGCTGAGGCCTCCTTAGTAGGTATGCCTTGAAGAACCAAAACTTCCAAAAAAGCGGCTAAAGACAATTACGAACATTTAATGCACATACACTCTTTCAAAGTGGGACCGAATTTCATATTAGGCAAAAGAACAGTTCTTCAAAATGCACTTTACTTTTCTGGTTTCTTCACATGCCATGCCACTCAATTACTCTCCTTTCTAATGACCATATTGCCTTTTCTCCTGGACCAATTCCCTCAAAACTTGTGGTCAACGATTTTCAAAACCAGGGTTATATCTCTTAATATGAATCTCTAAAACAAACCATATCTTATTCATAAGTTTAATCAGTTAAAAATATTCTTATAATTGAAAATGCACCTAAAATGGGGTGTTCGTGTTTGGAGAATATATTACTAAAAAGTGAAAACATAAAACAAAGAGTAGATGGTATTGGTGTGTGGGTCGACATGAAACGTCATACTCAGGAGGCTCTGCTCTTAATTGCTCCCAAGTATTTGTCTGGAGCGAGGCAAAGACATAAGGGCCATTTCATTTCAATTCAACAGTGGGTAACTGTGACATTCACATGAGAAGAGATGATGTGTTTCCATTGGACGCGTTGGCACTTGACAGGGGGATCACATGTAACCACACCATGCCATTACACCAGTCAAAATGGAATTCAAACTGATTAGCTCCCTCTGTGCTCACTCTGGCAAAAGGGATTGCAGTTGATTTTATTCTTCAGCATTTAAATCAAATACGATAAACTATGAATTCAAGATGTAGCACGGTTTAAGACCTGAGGACTGTGGCTCCACCCCACTGGAAAATTAAATGAATGTTGTTTTAACACTACATACATTATAGGGATATATACATTCAACTGGAGAGATTATGGATGATAAGTTTCTTGACCATTTCTTTACACTCTTTTAATTCGTAATTTTTGGCCCACTTTACTTTGTTGCTATAGAAAACTTTAACAAACAGAGAGATCCGATTGACTTTGACGGAATTCGAACAATGTTTGCGTGCTCATGAAAAATCGCAGTGAATGAAAAAAGTAGACAAAGAAGAACCAGAGCAATTATTTAAAGTGTCTCGGCAAGCTATATCTTAAATTCTACACCATGTTTCTCTTATTGTTTGAGAATTACAAATAATTTTTATTTTTCCTAAAACAATGTTCTAACCCCTTTACAACTATTTTTTGGGGTTTTATAGGTGAATTTCGAATAGGTAAGCCGACAAATCTGGGATACTATCTTGCTCGATATGATCCCGTGATTTCTAGATTGTGCACCAAAGTTGGGACAATCGAATGTCTTATTGTCTCTCTGAGATATTAGGAGATAAGATTATCCCGTTGACTTGTAAACAACTATTAAGTAGGTCCGCACAGCTTCAGCACTTTCGAGCTTCATGCCCTTATGAGTTTCAGATGTAACGAGCTTTAGATCACTGCGAGCTCTATATTGTACCAGCGAGCTAACGTTGGTTGAGCTACCAAAACTTCCGAACTTTACGCAAACTCACGCACAACATACTTTTTATTCACATATTTTGATGTCATATTGATAGACCTTAACAAAGATACAAGAAGTATTAAGACATTTTCAGATTTTTCTTTTCACTCTTATTCCACTAATATTGTAATAAAGACAAAAAAAAATAATATATCGGTAATAAATTAATTCTCTTATTTATCTACAAAAGTATAATATAAGAGAGTAAAGAAGAGGGAATCTTTTTGTAGAAAACAATGCAGGAATGATATTGAAACATGAATGGTGTTAGGGGCTGGGTGTTTGCTCTACCCTGCGATAATCCGGCTGACCGGCCCAAGTGGGTGGGAATGCCAGAACTATTGGGATAGGGCTAATGGGTCTTCAAAAAAAATCCCTGCACCGCTAACCATCAACCCTGCCCAACCTGCGCGACCCCCGCCCCGTCTTTCTTTTATTGAGAATTTGTGTTTTTTTTTCTTCTTGCGAGATTATATATAAAATAAGTTTAAATATGGTTTCGTATATGCTAAATTTATATATTTATTCTTATTTATCTTTCTTAAGTTTGTATTAAATTATAGAAAAAATATCTTACACGAGAAGTTTATAATTAATATAGTATTATTATTTTGTGAATTTCACAAAATAATAATACATGTACCCAAATAGATTGATTAGATTATACAATTTTAGCAAACCCAATATAAGTAATTATACTAATACTTAACAACTTACAAATTATCCAGTTCATGTAGCTTGTAATAATTAATTGATAAATTAAATATGATTTAATTGAACACATGGTGGGAATTTGGGATAATGAGATTTGTTCATCTTCACAAATGGACTAATTTATTAGATGTAGTGGAGATAGTGTTTTATGAAATTATTCATTATTTACTAGATATAGAGTTAAGATTGAAGAATTTTCGTTCTATAATTTTATAAAAAATTATTAAGTAACAGATAACTAAGGATCTAAAGTCTTCACACATACAATTGAAATAATTAAAGCATTTACTTAATAATATTATTTAAAATTAGATAGATATTATTTTATTTATGAAAAATTAATTAATGAACAGGTTTTAGCTAAGCGAGAAGTGGACGCCTTTCATACAATTAAATAAGTAATAATTTTAACCTAGAGTAAATTCACATGTCTAAGACGAATTTAGTTCTATAGTAATTTATATAAAAAATTAATTATTAACGTGGATTAACTAAACTTAGTGACATTAAATTAGTTTATATGGTTGTAAGTTATGTTATTGCTTTTTGCACTCTTAATTAACGATTTTACAGAGAATTAAGAGATTTAGTATATTTTCTGAGACCTTAACTTTTATCGTGTTGACATGAATTATTACTAAATTACCAACAGCTCCAAATTGTAAATTATATACCTAACGGTGCTAGTTCTCCAAAGGTAAAATAACTTAGATAATTTAAACATTACTTGGTTAGAACATGCCCCCCCCGGACGTTTCGATACCATGGTTGGCTAAATCCCCACATGAAAATTCCTCGTTCGTGGGAAAAATCCACCATGGTGAAATTTCCCTTGCATGCTCGATTGCA